GGAGATGAGGCGCCTGGACGCCAGCAGGGCGCGCTTTGAGGCCGAGCACGCCGAGGCTGAGCGCGAGGCTGCTGCTCAGGCTCAGCGGCTGCAGCGGGCAACAGCAGCGGCAGCTGCAGCGGAGGCGCGCGAGCGGGCCCTCGTGGCGCTGGTGCACGATGTGATGAACAAGCACACGGCGCGGCTGGGCCGCGACCTTGGAGAGAGCGCGCGCCTGGAGGAGGAGCGGCTGCGGGGCCAGGCCAGGGCCAGGGTCAGCGCGGAGGAGGCGCACCTGCGGGCGGCACTGGCACAGGAGTGGGAGCGCCTGCGGCAGCTGCGGGCCTCGTCTGACAACGAGGCTCTGCGGCTGCGGCGGATGCGGGACGAGGGGTCCTGGGGCTCAACACCGAAGCGATTCCGCAGGCACAATTAGGCGTCCGGCGCAGAGGTGCTGCGCCCATCAGGGGTTGCGCTGCTGAACCTGTGATGCGCGGGCCACTGTGAGCTGTGACTGCGCCAAGGTAACTCCATCTCACCCACCCTTCCTGCCCACCAAAAGCCAGTGGTGCGCAATGCCACGGCTGCACACAGTATGTGGGCTGTTGGGTGTCAGGCAGCAAAACTCAGCACCAAGCGGCGAAAAGCGGTAACCTGTGCTCTAGTGCAGCTGCGGGAGCCACTATACAAAGAACGAGTCACAATCCTCCACCCAGATCGATGATGCAGCTGGAACCCGCGTCCAATCATCCAAATCACCAATTGCCGGCACCATGCTGTTGCAAGCTTAACAAGTTCACAGCATGGACCACACCTGCACGTACGTTTGTTTTGCTAGCAGTCGCCCCATAAGCAACACTTATGTGCCCAATCACCTAACTGTGAGGCAGCAGCGTCTGGCCGCCAGTGTGTGTGCAGTGCCAGGAGGGACTTGAGACACTGAGGCGCGTGGCGGGCACGTCAGGCATGAAGGGGGTTAAGCGGCAGCACTGACCAGATCGGCGAGAGCAAGAAATTGGCACATCAAAACATCCACAGTGGCTTGGGCAGCACGAACAGAGCGCTCTAGAACTGACAGCACGGTCAGTGCTGTCCACCAGAGCGCCGTTGACCAGTCTACATGGTAGCTGGGAACTTGCTTTTACGGTACCGGTATCGTGCAACAACAAAGTCATTTTTAGATGTCTACCTGCAGATTTCGGCAGAGGTCAACTTGTCTACTGCACGCGCCTTGCATTGATCAACGCCAGCTGCAGGTGATCTGGTTTTACACACTTGGGCCAGCAGCGCGGGAAAATTGTGCCTTTGAATTTGTGAACATCTTATACGACATATAATCGATTGCAGACACCGCAGCCTATATAGACCAACCGGTGCCACACGGGCGTCACAGCATAATCAACAGCGCTCGGCGCCATCGAGTTCTGCCTCGCACAACGGCCGTGAAACCAGGTTGGTTTGAGCTCCATATAAAGCTGCATCACCTGTGCTCAGGGTGCGAAGCGGGGGGAGGCGCGGCAACACTGTGTCTGTGCCGGCTGCGACCGCCAGCACGTGCCGCACAAGTCCCCGTCCTCGACACGCCGTGCAGGTGCACTCGCTGCCCAGTGATAAGAGCTGCTACGCGCGGTTGATACCTGCGCCCGTGGGGAACGGCAGCTTGGTCGGCGCCCGACAGGTGACACAGCACGTATTGGCGGCTGCCAGCTTAACCACGCCCCCTGCGTCACCTGTATTCTCAAAGTGCGCCGGCGACAGCCGCAGCCACGACTTGAGGCAGCTTGGGGGAGGCTGCCCCAGCAACCTGCAGGGATGCTGTCCCCCTCAAAGCTGTGCGCAGCGGCGGTCGTGCTCTCGCAGCCGCCGGTGGTAGCCTGCGCCGCAGCTCGCCCGGCGGCCGCGCGCGTGCTGCACCTCGCGCGCTGCGTGCCGCCGAGCCTCCAGCAGCAGCAGCAGCACCAGCAAACACAGCAGCATGGGCTCGAGGAGACGGCTCGGCCACACATGCCCCCAGCGGCGCTCCTCAAGTCGTGCGTGTTGGCCGCCCCCTTGAGCACCAGCAGCAGCGACGCCTGCGGCGACGTCGTCGCCCCGGGTCCCCTGCTGCCCCCGCTCGCCGCGGCTGCGGCTGCCGCGGCGCCTGCCCCTCGCGCCGTGCCGGCGGCTCTCCGTGGTGGCGGCGTTGGCGCGGACGCCTTGGACCGCGGCAGCAGCGAATCCGACGAGGCCTCAATGCTGCTCGCAACGAGTGGCGCCACCGCGGCCGGCCCGCACCACCACCCCCACGCGCTCACCCCCCACAAAGCGGCCGCCGCCGCCGCATTGGCCACCCCCGCGCCGAGCCCCGACGCGTACACCGGGCCCCCGAGGGTTCCTGCCTACGAGGACGAGCCGCTGTCGCTGTCGTGGGTGCGGTCGCTGCCAGAGGTGGCGGGGCTGGGCGGCGGCGAGTGCGGGGCCGACGCGCGCGTGGGGCGCATCCACGTTGTGATGGGCCCCATGTTTGCCGGCAAGTCTACGGCGCTG